CCTTTCGCCTCCCTGCATTGTGCCTACATATGCAAATTAACTGCCATCTTGTTGGCAGTTAACTGCCAATCTTAGTTGGCAGTTAATTTGACTATAGCCCTGATTAGCCAATGAAAAGGGTAGTGTCGTACGCCAGTTACCATTTTTCTCTTTTATTAGTGTAGATCCTAATTTAATATCTCATTTAATTTTCATAACATCCCTATTATATGTTAAGGGAGAATAATTATAATTCCTCAGTCTGCGAGCAAAACAAAAATTTAAGTTCTAATTCCTAAGCCTGTTTTAAGTATGGGATCAAACTGGAATCCAGGTCTCCTGTCTCCCAAACAAGTGGTCTTTTTTGCCAACTGCATTGACTGAAGTTTTCTTTGAGGCCAAGTGTTTAAGTACAATTTTAAATAAATACTTGTATTTGTATGAAAGTATTATGGCATAGAAAATTCAGTAGCCAGAGAGATGAAAAATGAGGCTTAGAAAGATTGATCTATTCAGTGTTGTATAGTTTGCAAGTGAAAGCTGCAATGGCATTTAACCCTTTTTTAATCCAGTGTTTCCCTGATAAACCAAGCTGTTGATAGATGTTGTCTTTAGTAGATGCTAATAAATATATGTTGAATACAACTCAATCTCTTCTTAAGTCTTTGACCCTTGCTAGGAAGGTTAAGTTTCAGGTTTTACAGAGAATCAGACTTTTCTCTCAGATCCCGGTTGTAGACCAGGATTACACTAGTCCACTTTGTGGAATGCCTCACTTGAATTAAATGCCTTTTGGGGGTCTAAGTAAATGGTTCTAGATCATGCAACTGACCTCTTTCTCACAGGAGCCAGGGGAAGAGTGAGGACTGAGAATACATATCAGCAGTAGGACCAACCATGAGGCCACATAAGGAGAAGCTGGGCCAGAGTTAGCCTTTGGCAGGAGCAGGGATCAGTCAGTCCACTTAGACTGCAGCACTGGATTGAGATGCATAACTAATTGTCTTTCTAGGCCCAGGCTGGGCACTTGATGGCGTTTCTTAGGCTAGAACAAGTAGCTCAGATGCCAACCCACCAGAGGGGGAGCCCAATGAAGAGCCAGGAAATAAAAATGATTATGCAAGAGATGGAATTAAATGTTGCAGTATATTTTCTCATACGGAAGAGAAAGTGAGTGGGAGCTTTACTTTAACATTAAGTATAGTACATCTTTTATATCACAAGAAAAACCAGCCTATGTTAATATTTTAAGAATTTTTTAAATGTCACTAGTTGTTAATGACCAATTCCATTTTAGAACAAATGAAGGAATGGTGAATTTCAGAATAGCTGGTACTAAGAAAGGACCAAATTCTTGATATTGCAACCACAAGACTTCTTTTTTTTAAATATATTTTATTGATTTTTTACACAGAGGAAGGGAGAGGGATAGAGAGTTAGAAACATCGATGAGAAACATCGATCAGCTGCCTCCTGCACACCCCCAACTGGGGATGTGCCCGTAACTAAGGTACATGCCCTTGACTGGAATCGAACCTGGGACCTTTCAGTCCGCAGGCCGACGCTCTATCCACTGAGCCAAACCGGTTAGGGCAAGACTTACTTCTTTAAAGTGTTCTTTGTTAAGGTCCTTTTGAAAGGTCAGCTTGTTTTTTAATGGTGCTCAGTGAAGTTGCTGTGTGTTGCTGTTTGACAGATTCATGCAGAAAAGAAAAGGAGGGATCTCAGCAGCTGAACTGAAGGCACTCCAGGGAAACCTGCCGTTGATTGCGAAAATCATCTTCGATCCTGAAATTAAAAGTAAAGCTGGAAAGGAATTTACAAACAAGAAAAGGAAGAAGTTTGGGATTGGACTTACAGGATCTGGGCTTGGAAATGCCTCAGGTAAATCATCTAGAGCAAGTGTAAGGTTTTCTGTTTTCCCATGGCAGAAAGTCAATGTCATTGCTTCTGTAAGTTCTCCAATTCGTAACACAACTTGACACACTATCTTTTTAAGACAGTTTCCTTCTGATTTCAGCTAGTTTTGAAGATATGAACTTTTTTCCATTGCTTCTATTTTCTGCTTTGCTATATAGCTTTAATTAATGAGTGTGGCACAGGGAACTCAGTGAATGGAAATTTAGTTAGAAAGGTGTACAGATCTGCTGGCTTTATGGGAGCTAACAACTCCCCTGAAACTCTCCTCATTAACCTGCCACCAAAAGCCTATTTTGTTCTTTCTGTTTTCTACTTCACAATTGTTCCTTTCCATTCATGCCTGTTGAATTTAAAAGTAAGAGGAAATTGTGTATGTCTTTCATACACATACACCCCCCCACACACATATACAGGTGTAGGTAAAAGTAGGTCTACAGTTGTGAGTACACAAAAGTTTATTCTTGTATTATTTACTCTATTTTCCAAACAACTGTAAGTCTACTTTTGCCCACCTCTGTATATACCTCCCACAAAACATGTTTAAGAGTGATTATATCCATTTATATTACTACTTTGAATTCATCAATTCTGGTTTCAGGCAATCACTGAAACAATAAATGAAGCCCTGTTAGTCCCCACTCTGCATATACAACTTCTTCCCTTTCTCCTGTCATTATCTTTTACCCTCCCCTCTTTGTGTTCAGTGCTGGGGAGAGATCTAAAAATAATGAGGGCCCGGGTGCTTAGGTGGCTTTATGTGAGGCCAGGCAGAACTATGCCCTGAGCGGAGGAAGTCAGAAACTGCTGTGACTGTGCAGTGACTCGGAGGCAGGCAGCAGAGGCAAAGAATGGGATTTGCTGGCTGATGTTCAAAAGGCCAGCGGCCTGCCTCCACCCCAGCCTCCCTGCCAAGTGGACCACACATACCCATTCAGAGTTCTTTCCCATTCAAGTTTTCATTTGCTGTTTATCAGATACTTGAATTTAGAACTATAAGACACTTATTTTGAGTTTGCAGTCTGGTAGGGTTGGGGAAAATCAGAGAAAGAAAAGAATTGGGTGGGATGTTCCAATGAAGGAAAACATGATGAGAGAGTATGTATGATAGTGTATAAAGGTATATGTATACAAAAACATAAACAGATAGACGAATAATTTTTTAAAGTTTCAGCAGAAACTTGCTGAAGAAGAACAAAAAGGCAAAGAGGAAATTTTTATTTTTCCCCATCCTCTCCCTTTATGCAAATTCAATTTCAGAGGGAGGCCTTTTACTTGTTTGGACCAATTTAGGCGTGTGAGGCCCGCCTTCATTCTAGAGTGATTTATAGACATGTTGAAATAGAAAAGGAGGATGGATTAACTCTGGGTGCTGAGGCTTTTTTTCCTTTCTTATTTATTATAGGATGAATTGTATACTTTTCAGGAGTCAGGATTAAAGCTACTGAGCTCCCAGTTACTGGTCTCACCCAGGGATTTTGGATATTTGGCTAATTGTGTCTCCATCATGTTCCTGGAGTCATTTGTTGACTAGAGATGCCCAAGTTCTCTTCGAGCTTGTTTTGAGGACTCACTTAGGATACAGAGTTAGACTGTCCCGCTAGCTCCATAGACCCCAGGAAATGGCAGCTCTCCTCTTCAGGGAATTAGTACCAAGAGTTAGTAATTAGAGATGGATTTGAAGAATATTTATAGCCTAATGGAAGTATTCATTAGGTACTGTATGCTGACTGGTGGCTAAATAAGCTTTAGTTTTTAGAGGTTAAGTATTAGGAACAATTGGCACTCATTTTTTGTTTTTATGCATTTAGTTATTTTCCTAATATAAGCCCACAGTTAAATGCTAGTTAAATGTCTTAGATGTACTACTAAACAGTAGAAGAAACACAATTGTTTTCTGAAAATAGTAGGTGTGGGGATGGGGCATATTTGCAATAAATTAGTCTTGAGTAGTCTTTCGTGTTCTAAAATTAAAACCTCTCTGTTGTAGCCTAGTGTAAGCGGAATGGATCCGCCTTTTGGGGATGCCTTTCGAAGCCACACTTTTTCGGAACAGACTCTAATGAGCACAGACCTCTTAGCAAACAGCTCAGATCCAGATTTCATGTATGAACTGGTAAGTGACATTTGCTTGTATTCTTTGATTTGTGGTAAAAAGTGTTGTGGTAGAGATTTTTACTTATAAAGGCCAAATTTGATTCTTGTGATTGTCAGTGTAGTAATTTTAGAAGGATGTATGAGCCCATTGAAAATAGTAAGAGGAATGGTTTTCTGAATATCCTTAGTCTGGTTTTTGATGAGGAGGATGGGAAGCAGTCTTTCTTTAATATGTTTAAATACTAAAGGACTTTTCAGCTGGGAAATTTAAAAATGGTAACATTGAGCAAGGTATACACACACAGAATGTGAGATAAAAAGTAGCAATTCCAAGCAATATCTGTTTTTTAGCATAAAAGTATATGACGAAGCAGCCTTTCATGTTAGTCCATTAGAGCTTCACTGAATTCTTTGTAATGGCTGCATAGTCTTAATCACATTTTAAAATTACATCTCTACTCATGGGGAGAATTTTATTTGCCAAGCCTGAAAGTTGTCACAAGGTCTTCAAAGAGCTTCTTTTTCTGTGGCTGAGTTCCAACTCTCTTTGGATTGCTCTTTGCCTCTAACTTTAAGTTCTCATTTAAGAAGGCATATTCTTCTGTGATGAAGGTGCAGTCTTTACTATTTGCTTTGTAAACGAGCTTGTTTCTAAGGAGATCCCACTATCCTTCTAGGTCAAAAATCAGGAAATATAAACTTCTTTTCAGGAAGAGTGTTTATAGTAAAGTTTAATAGGCCTTGATATTTGCACCATACTTCAACCTCTCAAGGGACATGTTTTCCCTCTTTTTTTTTCTTGCCCAAGGAAATGATGTTACGTATATGGAATGGTAAAGTTTCATGTAAGTAGCCTTTATCTTAAAATAAAACAGAGCAGAGTTCAAGCACTTGTTCATCAATTTGATATATGAAAGTGGATGGAGGTGAATATTTCTTTCCTAAAATATGGTGTGTTATTTTTTAAACCTTTCTCAGGATCGAGAGATGAACTACCAGCAGAATCCTAGAGACAGCTTCCTTTCTTTGGAGGACTGCAAAGACATTGAAAATCTGGAGTCTTTCACAGATGTCCTGGATAACGAGGGCACTTTAACCTCAAACTGGGAGCAGTGGGATACATACTGTGAAGACTTAACAAAGTACACCAAGCTAACCAGCTGTGACATCTGGGGAACAAAAGAAGTGGATTACTTGGGTCTTGATGATTTTTCCAGCCCTTACCAAGATGAAGAGGTCATAAGTAAAACTCCAACTTTGGCCCAGCTTAATAGTGAAGACTCGCAGTCTGTTTCTGATTCCCTGTATTACCCAGATTCACTTTTCAGTGTCAAACAAAATCCTTTGCCTTCTTCATTCCCTGGTAAAAAGCTTGCAAGCAGAGCAGCTGCCCCTGTGTGTTCTTCTAAGATTCTTCAAGCTGAGGTCCCTTTGTCAGACTGTGTCCAAAAAGCCAGTAAACCCACTTCAAGCACACAAATCATGGTGAAGACCAACATGCATCATACTGAGAAGGTGAACTTTCATGTTGAATGTAAAGACTATGTTAAAAAGGCAAAAGTAAAGATCAACCCAGTGCAGCAGAGCCGGCCATCGCTGAGCCAGGTTCACGCAGACGCAGCAAAGGAGAACACCTGCTACTGTGGGGTGGTAGCGAAGAGGCCAGAAAAGAAAGGGACGGAGCCTCTCCAGGGTCATGCCACTCCAGCTTTGCCTTTTAAAGAAACCCAGGAACTACTGCTCAGTCCCCTGCCCCAGGAGGGTCCTGGGGCAATTGCTGCAGGAGAGAGTAGCAGCCTTTCTGCCAGCACATCGGTCTCAGATTCATCCCAGAAAAAAGAAGAGCACAATTATTCCCTTTTTGTCTCTGACAACTTGGGTGAACAGCCAACTAAATGCAGTCCTGAAGAAGAGGAGGACGACGACGAGGATGTCGATGATGAGGACCATGATGAAGGATTTGGCAGTGAGCACGAACTTTCTGAAAATGAGGAGGAAGAGGAGGAGGAGGAGGAAGATTATGAAGATGACAAGGATGATGACATTAGTGACACTTTCTCTGAACCAGGTATTATAATGCTTAGAGGCTTACAGACTGACCTGTCATCTCCTCTTACGTGGAAATAGGAAGTTTTGCTGTGGATGCTTTCTTTGTCTTAGTGTGAGGATTAAATGACTTAATATCTTGGCTCAGATATGTAATTGCTTTTTATCTATTCAGACAGCTCTAAAATAACCACTTTTGCTCATATTGTGGCTCATATGCTGATTCCTCGAGGGCTACTTCTAAATTTATTTTATGCTAAGTACCTGATTTATCATTCTCTTGAGCAGCTGTGCAAAGATGCCAAGAATTGATTGGCTTAAAAATATTCGTTTTTTATGCACGAGTCCCTCTGTTATTGTTGAGGTACGTTAGGAGTCCCTACAGTGGGGAACCAAGAGATGATGGTTTATGTTACTCATGGCTATAACCAACAAAGCCCACTGAGTGAATAATGTACAAGAGAGCTTTTTCTTTGTCTGCCGCATCTCTTGTTTGCACAGTATTTTTCCACTTAAGAAAAATACCTGCTCTAATTGAATAAGCATGAAGGAGACTGTTTTGTTTATGTAGAGCGCTTACAAATAGAGGGAGAAAGTGAAACCTGTGGGGAAGTGGTCCACTTCAGCATTCACATGCTTGGGCTGTTGCTGCTGTTGGCTTGTGCTGTTTATTTATGAAAATGGCATTGCCAAGTGGAACACAGTTAATACACAAAGAAGTGAAGATCTTCAAGTTTAAGCAAAAGTTATTTTTTTTCCAGAAATAATGTTGATATTGTAACGCCTACGTGAAAAATCAAGTTATTAAAAAACCTTACACATTGTCAAAGAAATCCCTTTCTGTTCGTTATGATGATTGCTGGAATTGCCAGCAGTCAGTATAAACATTGGTATTTAATTTTTGGAAGGGTTTTTAAGGCATAGTAGCTATATTGTAGGCACTGAAGCACTGTTATTACTGAAAGACTCCTTTTAGTGCAATCTTACTATTACACAAATGCTTAGCTTGATGCATTTGATACAACCAAGTTGTTTGACTTGGGTGTGGGCTTGCAACTAAGGAAAAGGTACAGTAAGTTTAATGTGGAGGAAAGGAGGTTTTGCTTTTTCTTTGGTTTAGTTTAGAACTCTGTATAGTCTAGATAGAACAATTGTCTTTACTCCTTAGCAGGAAAATTTTCAACAAACTAATAAAATCTGCTTTGAAATATTTCAAGGGAAGCTGCCTTTGTAGCTGGTGCTTTACTTAGCTCCCTCCCAAAGGAAGACCAGTGTGGTCCTCAAGTCTGGCAGGTCAGCCCTCTTGCTTTGATACATGTTTAGAATTAGGATAGGGTGATAGGGGAGGGAGACCAACAGGAGACAGACAGGTAGTAACTAAGGGAAATGGAAAGTGGGAGAAAGGAAGTGCCAGCTGGTGTTTAAAGGAATAGATAAGTCAGTGAGTAAATCCCACCAACCAGGCAAGGAACGATGCTATCTGTCCCGCTTCTGGTTTTAGCTTTTCTTTTCTTTGACTTTTAACTTCACTTTAAATTCATTCTTGAGCTTTTGACTTGGTTTTGTGTTGGGCGGTGAGTGGGTCCATGAAGGGAGGCGCTTGGTAGATGGACCCTCATTTCCATTTTCTCAGCCTTTGACTCTGCTAAGGCAGGGGAACCGGTGTTACAGTTGGTGTTGTCCTGTTGGCCGCATTTCCTTGCTGGTGTGAAGAAGCAGCCAGCGCTGCTTTAAAACAGAGCTAGGGCTGGCCCTCCTCTTGGTGCAACTTAACAGTGTGGAGTGTTTGGATGGCACTGACTTCACTCACTTTCAGTTGACTTCAAGTCCAACCTCCTTGGTTAGTATCACTTATTAGTTCCCACAAATGTGAATGAATGATATTCTTAAGTCAGTACAATTTTGTGGTTGTAACTGGGCTTTATTCATATTTGCTAATGAAAATTGCCCTGTTTCTTGAAAGAAAGAGCTAAGCAAGCGACTTTAGAGACGCAAAAGTGAATTATTGGTGAGAAGCAGGATGGAATTCTTTGAAGCTGAAAAGTGGGAATAGTTATAGTTTCTTCAGAGTGCTAGTTTTGGAGTGGGTTGATTGGTTTAATTTGCAGCCGATAGTTTATAAAGGCCCTTTTGTGGCGACTAGCTCCCTGGATGCTGGTTCCTGGCAGTCCGCTGCTCCAGTGCCACGCCTACAAAGCTCCAGCAGAGGTGTAAATGGAGTTTCAGTCCCGACTCTGGACTGGCTCCCAAGCTCTGATAGAGCCTATTCTGTGGGCAGGCTACATGGCTTGGGGTCATGGAGTTACACATGGGGTAATTAAGACTCGGGCCCCCAGAATGAGAGTTTATTTTGTAATCCCTGCTAAACATTTTTACGATCGACTTTACCAGCTTAATGGCAGTAATCCTCACTAACCAAAGATGTGTGATTGGAATTTTAGGCAATAAATAATCCTTTTTTACTTTCTTTTGATAATCATGTCAGGAAGGAATGAGATCAGTATGGTAACCCATTAAATGAAATTAAAAAAAAAAAGGGAAAAGTCTCATGGGAAATGTTTGAGTGCCTCCTTTTGTGTCTGGCACTGTGTGTATTAGGCATTGGCTGTACAGAGATGAGCAGAATAGACATGATCCTTGTCTTTGTGGAGCTCAGAGTTGACCGGATCTATTTGCTGTTGTGTTTTCTGTTTTCTAATACATTTATGTGTGCTGTGACTTGCAAGAGAGAGGTGCAGGATGAGTTTCTTACAACTTATTTGACCATAGAACTCACTTGGGTATGAAGGCATATCTTTTAGTAATAGTGTTTCTTAAGACATGCTTTGCAAGATATTTAAGAACATTAAGTGCTAGACCAGTGATCTGGGAATATAATATTTCTGCATTTTACTGGATCATGGTAGTCTTTGTATTAAAAGGTGGATGACTTTAGCTACCAAGTCCATTGTGTTTGTGTGTGTGTGTACATGTGTACTATGATGTATGCTATTAGAAAATGTGAAAATATTAGGTCAAAGAAAATTGATGACCCTTTAAGTACTTAAAAAAAGACAACATATATAAAGTAATAAAACTGGTAACTAATTTGGGTGGGATAGAAGAAATAAAAATCTCATGACTCTGAATTTAATGTGGAATATATATGAAAAAAACCCCACTCAGACCATTTAACTGGATAGGCACAGGGAAAGTGGGACATTCAGCTGGAGCTAAACTCCTTGAGTTGTGGGGCCTCAGTCAGTCCCAGGCTCTGCCCCGTCATTTAAACCCTCCATGAGTGTGTTTCTTTGCGAAAAGGAGGTTAATAATCTTGTCTTATCAGGTTCTTATAAGGCTGAAATGAAGTATGTGTAAGTGAAATATGTAAGGACAAGTTGCTAGCTAAGGGAGCATATCATATAGTGTTGGGGACATGGGTTCACCTCTTTCAGTCCACGCTTCTGTGAGCTCTCACAAGTGCACGTAACCACCACCACCTGAGGAAGTTGTATATAAAAATGTTCGCCTGATGCTTGGGGCTGGAATAAACTTAAATGTGGAATACCAGTTCTTGATGTTGGCGGGAAGATCGGAGTGTTTGGGTTGGGCCATCTGCCAGTGTGAGGTGTTCCCAGGCATATGAGGGTATCTCTGCGAGCCAGTAATTTTTGGTTGACCTGGGCAAGGGCCTTTTTAAAAAGGCCATTTCAGTTGGCACAGTGTGGCCACTGCACCTTTTCCTAAGCTACGTGGAAAACTGGGAACAAGATAAAATCTTTGTTTGAAGCAAAGCATTCACACAAGTAAAAAGGCCAAAGCTATATAACAATTTTTAAAAATCGGACTTCTAGAAAGTATTGTGTCACTGAACTTGTGCATTATTTCTTAAAGAAGACATAAGGTTTGCAGCCCCACTGCTTGCCATGTTCTAAAGAGCCACAGGTGCACTCTAACGCTGTCCAGCACTTGTCCTGGCTGTTGCCTCAACATCATTTGGCTCTTCAACTGATTCTCTTTTTAAAGGTCACGTGTATTGAGGCATAATTTTCACACTGTAAAATCCATTCCCTTTGTGCACACTTCTGTGAGTTTTGACAAAGTGCATGTCATAATGTAATTACCACACTCAAGACAGAAGGATTTGATCACTCCTCCCCTCCCCAGTTTCTCTCATGTTCCTTTATAGTTAGTCCTTCCCTCCACCCCCAGCTCCTGGCAATCACTTTGTCCCTATAATTTTGCCTTTTCTAGAATGTCATGTAAATGGAATCATATTCTTAATTCTTAATCTGAATAAAACCTGGAAAAATTCTAACTCCCTCCCCCCAAAAAAACACTCAGATGTCATCACTTTCTTAGTATCATCAGTTCCAGAGGAGTCACATTTTTAGTAGGGAA